TACAACTTCCCAAATAGGTGAAGTGGTCAACATGTTCTATCAATTGACTCCCTATCACGAAGCTATGAGTTGACGTAGTCCAGTCCTGTAGCGGCATCTTACATTTTACAGGGGCGAATCGTATGCAAAACATACGAAGATTGCTGCTCAAGGTGTTCAGAAGACTCTGCATTTTGTCAGCATCCTCCCCTAACAGGACTATGTCGTCTGCATATTCTAAGTCCATAAGACTATTCCCTGGTAACAACTCGATTCCTAAGTCGTTAAGTTCAGTTAAGGATACTTCCATTAGCATATCTATGGGATAGAAGCCAATGACCAATGAATATAGTGCTACTGTCAGTCAGTGCCCTCCCCGCGAGTATTCTTCCTGACACTAGACTTGGTTACAGACTTTTTTCATCCCAACCCATAGTCACACAAACTAGTGTGTGAGTGTTAAAATAAATTTCAAGGGTTACTTTATATAATTCAGCTGAACTCATCCAATAACCACCTTAAATAATATTGATTGATTGTACTTTCACTGTAATTGATAAATCATGTAAATGAATATCCTCTTAGATTGTTTTTCTTTTCAACACAATTTCTTTAATTATCATCTTTCTTGTTTTATTTTTGTGTTTTTATTTCGTTTAAGTTGATTAAAACCTAAAGATTTTTTTTAAACAATGGATTTAATATTTAAAAAGTGAATTTTAGAAAACAAAGAAATATATACAACATCTGAACTACTTTTAACCAAAGATAAAACAGGACAAGCCACAACAAAAAAGAATAAATAATTATGACAAAAAACAAGAAGCGAACAAACAGAAAACAAATCAATATATTGATCAGTGATCAATGCATAAGAGGATATTAAATCCTTTGTAGATAGTTTGTCAATGAACAGCACACTTCTGTCACTATCTCACACACACACACGCACAAACACAGTGCTAGCACGTACACCTATGCACACATTTTTACGAAAGAACAATGCAATTAGGAATAACGGTTGGGTTGTTGGGGAGAACAAGAAAAAATTGAGTAGGCATAGAAGTCAATAATGGGGGTGGTGGATAGGATAAATACAAATAATAATGGTAATAATAATAGTAATTACTGTGGCAAGAAGTGGATCAATATTACTTGTCCTTTTTTTTACTTAATTAATACAGTGCATTATTTGCTGTTGTTTTTTTAAATGTATTTTATTTTATGTGTACTACACACAGAAAGCCCATTGACGGTAAATCGATAGATTTTTTCTCTTTTCTTTTTCTCTCTCTCTCTCTCTCTCACACACATACAAACACTCTTTTGTTTGCCCTTTTCTCTAAAGACCAATACCCTTATGAATTGAACAGAAACGAGCGGCAAGGAGTACATAAAAAGATTGATTGATTGATTGAAAACAATAGAGATAAAGACACAATGTGGGTGATTGGGAGGGGAATGTGGGGTTCGGCTGGTGATGGGTAAAAGAAGATAAACAATTAAGGTGTACAGAAAATCAGTTTAAGTATACATGTGCCTTGTGTACACGCCTAACCTTATTGCATATATATATATGCACATGTGTGCGTGTTTGTATTTATGAGTGTTTGTGTGTGTATGTATGTGTGTGTAATCAGCGGATAGAGAAACAAGTTCTTCAAGAGGATAAACACTGACACACACACACACATGCAGTTTGAGGATTTCAACAGTGATTGTCTGTCGATAACACTATACATCGTCGCAGACGGCTTGATGATCCAATAGAGGATCATGGTTTTTTTCTCACAAGTGAGGATGTCAGTTTATCGTCATGAATTTCACTTTACATGATGAACACACTTACTAGGTTTACTAATGACGGACATCGTCAAATCTGAATGGTCCAGCAGTTGAATAGCAGCGATGTACTCGCTTCCTAACTTAATCAGATCTTAAGTTCGATCTCTTGGTGGGGGGTCAAGGATGCCGTAATGCTGAAAAGTCTGAAAAACTATTAAGGAAACAGTTGTACAGTATAGTTTTTAGTGTCTTTTGTGATTCATGATGTGTATTTGTGGTGCAATCCAACAGCGATGACTGCAATACACCTGAAAGAGGACTAATAGTTAAGCAGACTGCACTTTTATTCGACTCCTGACACGTGAACAAGATTGGCATTTCAGGTGTAATCATTGCCCAGTGACTAGCAATCGTTCGTGTAATATGAAATTTCTTCTTATTCAATGAGATACCTCTTAATCCATTTGAAATGTTAGTCATTAAAGCCCAAAGAGGATCACATTTTTTTGTTTCGACGTGACATTTTATAAGTGGCCGACAACGCACTCTTTTCCTTATATCTCGCCTACAGTTTACTAGCCGATAGAAAGACTGGTGAAGACCGGGGGAGAGAGAGGTTGGGCGGGAGTGCGGCTAGCAACCTCAACCTCACCCACCCCACCTCGCTGTAAAAAAACAAAACAGCACCACTGCTAATCAAAATTCAAAGCTTGAAAGCCTATTTTCCACTCGGCGCAAAGAGCTCAGTTACCACTATTCAAGGTGTTATCATGAACACGTAACCGTTGGTCATCTATCTATTCAAACAGTACCCTACCAATACAGTTTGGTTAGAAAGAAAGTGCCTTATATATATCACAGTGAGATTGACTTACACACTGATAAGCACTTGATAGCTCATTGAAACTGTTATTTGAATAGGAACATAGGGCAAGTATTGTTTGTTGCTTCCTCTAAAGCCAGTATGTATTTCAGTTGCACTATGCATAAAACATGCATGGGAGAGAGGTTAGAGGAAGTAAGCGCACAGATGTTACTAATTATCTGCTCTCTCTTTTATTTTATTTTATTCCTTGCTAAGCATTCCAAGTGGAACAAAGGGTTTCAAGCTTTGGAATTTAGGAGGCAGTGGTATTACTCTTTTTTTTAAGGGGTGAGGTTGCTAGCTAGTCTCACTCCCAGCCTTCCCTTCTTACCGGGCTTACTACTGGCTAGCATAGGCAAGTTTGAGGATTCGTCGGTTGGGGGTTCGAACTTCGGACCACACGCGCACGGTTGTCAAACATTTTACCGCTGAGCCACCGACGCATAATATCTTCCTTAGTTGATGACAAAGATCTCTAAGGGAAAACGATGCAAAACAATAGACATAAATACTGTCAAAATGACTCTACACAGCGCTATTTTCATACAGATGTGCGTGTGCGTGTGTATACTTTGTATCTTCATCCATTTGGAAAAAGAAAAAAATCAAGACACTTCTTTTCAATGTTGAGGGGTAGTAGTGTCAAAAAAGGTTACCAACCATCTGGAGACTTTCAAAGACACAGAACTTTTTGAAACATTGTCTTCATTTCTCTACCTTATCTTATTATACCTTTATAACTTTGTATCCGTTGTCAACATTTTCGTCTCTACAATCTCTTCAAGGCATTTTTTTACAAGTATTCTTCCTTATCAACTGTTTCTTCTCTTGAAACTGCGCCGTAAAACTTCAAGCTGTAACTCCTTTGTGAAAGAATGGGCGAAGTTAAAGTATCATAGCCAAAGTCAAGGTCACTGACAGACGCAGGGAATGCTACGAAATATCATCCCAAATCAAGTTATGCCTGCCTTTTTCGACTTGGAGAGGATAGATACAGCATTCCACTTATTTACTTGGTGCTTTTTTCCGCAAATCTATACTGTTAGGTAGGGTTATGGCATTTAAGATTAAGTTTTAGGCTTAAGGTTAGGATTAGGGTTAAATTTAGCATCAGGAGTTAGGATTATGGCTAGAGTTACGAGTAGCTTGAAGAATAGTGTGAGAAATGTCAATGGACCTCAAAGTACCATGGTTGGTCTGTCGGTTTTCGACATAGAACTTTGCACATATGTGCGGCAGTTCAAGTCGCCACAATCCATGTAGCACGCAAAGCAAGAGAAGAAAGTAGAAGAAATGCATAATATAGACAGTAAACAGAGGTGTGAGACAAAGGAATAGTAATAACGGAGAACAAAACAGTTTAATTGGAAATCATAAGTCACAAGGAGTGGATGCATCTGCTCCAGCCATTGAGAACGATTTTGAGCCATGTCACCAATTGTTTCCAACCATTGGTTTTTACCGTCCCGAGGACCCCAACCAGGAAGTCTACACCTTCCTACGTGGTTTAGACTAACTGTTGTAGATTTCATTGACTGGTGCCATGTTTTCGTTTGACCGCCTCTAGCTCTTTTCCAACCTGACCCTATATCAGCTAACATTGCCCATTGTCGAGGAAGGCGATCGATGACTTGGCATACGTAACACATGTCCCAACCATCTCAGTCGATGTAATTTCACAGTTTCGTCGACTGATTTCCCCGCCTTACCTAGCACTCGACGCCTAACCTCAATATTGCTCACCAGATTATACCACCTAATACGGGAGACAGAACGCAGGCACCTATGGTGAAAGACAGATAACCAGGCTTTTCATGTCTTCCACTCTCAATGGCCATGCCTCACAGGCATAAAGGAGGACGGAGCGGACTGTTGAGCAGTACACACGCCCTTTGGTCGATAGTCGGATATCACGTCTACGCCAGAGACGGCGTAAACTGGCATATGCGAACCTAGCCTTCTGTATTCGTGCTGAGATTTCGTCGGATATCAACCGACGAAATCTCAGCAGTCACCTGGATGAATGGGTATAGCGCACGTTGTACTATATCTCTATAGATCATCTGACTGGAAGACATTCTTACAACACATAAGCTACAAATATACAGTGTACTATCAAGTTTGCAATACTTTTTTACGATTATGCAACCTTTTTGCATCTGTGTCATAATCACTAATTCTTATACATTTCTTGATGATATGGCAAGTAGAAACAGTAGTAAGACCAATCAATGGAATCACCAGTCATATTTACTTGTGTGCTTGCTGTCCGACATACAACTTGTACAGTGTGAAGGGACAGTTTTATATGAAACTATCTAAAACTAAAGCATATAACTTTACATATAAAACATTAGATATAAAATCTTACTTTTGTACACTGCAACCCGCATTGTTAACAACAGGTTCAGGTAGAGAATCTTTACTGCCATTCATTGATTCTGAATAGTTGCCATTCAACTCTACAGTATCAAGAAACATACGAACTTGTTCTTCGGTTATTTTACGATTTTCATGCATATCATAAAAATTGGACATAATTAACACGGGTAGTTTTGCAGGAATTTGAACGAGTTCTCGGCAAACATAATCAAACGTCCTGTGTGGAAAAATGACAAGAAAGAAAGCAAGCAGAGAGCAATTAGTTGCCGTGTAACAATCATCAATGGATTGTAATGAATGAAACTAAGGAGTGTGTCAGTGGCTTTCGAGGGTAGAATTGTTTGCCAACCACACACATGGTCCGGGTTCGATTCCCGACCAATACACTCCTAAACTTCACCAGGTTGACTAAGCTATAAGTAAGCACTAAGAAAAGGGAAGGTTAGGCGTGAGGTGTTGCAAACCGTAAAATGACAACACCACTGCTATTGAAACTTCAAACATGAAACCCTGGAATGTACAGAAATGATAAAGAAAAGGTAAAATTCAGGATGTAAGTTTCGGCTACCTCCTTACCCGGATGCACTTGTATTGTTACGCGTATTGCTGTTCACCAGCGTTTCGAAAGTAAGGTGAACGAATTTCAGAACTATATGACCCTGCTAAATGAGAAAAAGTCTGGAGCTTATGAATGAATAGTTGCTATATGGATTACCAACAACATTTTAACGAGGAGTTGGCAGTGCCACGTTTGCAAACATCAATTGTGAGGACCGATTATACTCTACTAAAGTATTCGTATGTGGAGGAAAGAAGTTGGGGAACGCGGATTACTGCTTTCTAGCACAATAACTGAATGGTTGGATGATTTTACATAGCCTTACAGGATCCAGTTCATATAGGTTGTGAATTCCTTAACTCCTTCAATTATCTGGGAAGCATCGTTTCAACTACAGGCAGTCAGAACGGATGAAGATGTCAAAACCAGCCAGCCAGTCAGAATCGGAAAGGCAAGCAAGATACGCCTTCATTAGCCTGAAACCAGTTTTCAAATCTTCTGCACCCAGAGCAAAGCGCATTTTCAACACAAATGTCAAGTCGGTCCTTCTATATATGGGTCAGGAACTTGCACTGCGTATCACGAGAAGGATTTCCAACAGGTCACTGCAGACTTTCATCAACAGCTGCCTTCGCTCTGTGGTGGAAGAAACCAACAAGGCAAGAGCCGATCGTTCAACAAATATGTAGGAAAAAGCGGAAATGGATCGGGCATACACTGAGGAGGCCATCAAATGACATCGCACGCCAGGCCATTGCTCGAGTGGAATGCAAATGGGAAGCGACGAGTGGGTCGTCCTAGAGTGACATGGAGGAGATCGTGTGAGGAAGAGATGACAGAGAGAGTTTAGGCAATCGTGGACCCAGCTGAATAGGATGGCAAAGGATAGGTCAAAGTGGAGAGGTGTTGTTGAAGCCCTATGTTCCACTCAGAACCCAAAGGAACAATAATAATAATAATAATAATAATAATAATAATAATAATAATAACATAGTGGCTATTTCAAAAGTAAGTATAACTTCTGTTTAAATCTGTTTAAAGTCTGAGAAAAACAAGATATGCGATGAAAATGGTTATTCTTCTTATCAGAGTGTTTAGATTAGCACAAATATCAGTTCAACTAAAAAACCTAGACACACTGAATTCATCCTTTAAACAAAAATAAACAAACAAACAAACAAGAATATTAATTGATATTCATCATATAAGAAAGAGTGAAAACAAAATCAATATGTTTTTGTTTTATTTATTATTTTTTTTCAAAATGCATCAGCAGTATCGTAAGCCTATCATCATCATCATCATCACTATTGTCATCATCCAATGCAAATTTCAGTCGATGTTGTATTTACCAAAAAAATTATTTCTGGGATGAATCATATGTGTGTGCTGTCAGTGCTTTTGGCATCACCATACTTTTATGGTGATTGGCTAGTGTGTTTGGTAAACACCTATCTTTCACCACCGTACGTAACCTTTTCACACACTACCTTAATTATTGATTTTTCTTCATTGTGTTTTCTAGTAACGCAAACCTACATTTACAGATTACGCGTAACCCTGTAATGATGATAGCCTTCTTTTTTTTCTAAGAAAAACACCCAGTAAATTTGTTTAAGGCATTGATTATTGATTGTTCAGTGTGATTTATTAACTGATAGGGATAAAAGGTAAACAGCAATGCTGGCCTCATTTCAGTAGAGATACAATTAGACATAACTGCATCTTAGTGACAGTTAAACTCAGGACCAGATGTTATATAAATGCCGAAATGTTATTTAGTTGATTACTTAGATCAATAATCATTGTAACTTGTAACTTCCCACAGGGTTTGGCTTAAAACAGACCTACACTTGACCAGTTTCTGTCGGTACATCAGCCATATGTTTCTTCAAAGGCTAATTGGTAAAGCCAGAGACTTTATCAACAAACAGTCTAGGCCATATTTGTTCTAAGCCTAATTTGCATTTCCTGCTGACTGATTATACTGGGTCGCAATGTTCGGTGCCTGTTGTGATATGCAGGCTTCTGCGAAGGACGCCTTGATAACGTTATTTCGGTTGACGGTGATTGTAGCAGTTGAATTAAAGAAAGATACGTATTTCATCCTGTTTAAGACTCTACATCTGGATATGGCTGTAGTCACAGTGACTGATGGACGGTATGCCCCCTCCACACACACACACACACACACCAAACTTCGATCTATGCACTAAATGTGCATCTTAGATTCCATCCACTTCTACAAAGATTGAATTATTATTACTATTATTATTATTGTTATTATTATTATTATTTAAACGCAGAAAACACTTGGTACAATATGGCACCAAGAAAGATGCGCCACACAATAATAATAAAACAACATAGATGAAAAAAAGGAAGGAAGGCAGGAAAAGAAAAAATATATATAAGTAGAGAACGAATAAAGAACTTCATCTGGAAGGAAAACACTCATTCTTAACAGGTTCAAACAGTGTTCGTTAACTATCATCGGGAATGGAAGAAAGAAGGAAATCGCAACACATTCGCCATTGATTACGATTCTTGGCCATATCCGATAACGTTTCGAGCCATCGATTCGAGCTATCTCTCAGACCCCAACCAGGGAGTCGTGACACACCAACCGATGCTAATCTAGCACAGAAATCCTTCATCCCACGACTCCACGTCATGGGCTGACCACCTCTCCGCCTTTTCCATCCCGTCCCAGGGCTAACGAACAGAGACCTGTACGGAAGCCTCTGGGGTGACATTCGCAGCACATGTCCAAGCCACCGGAGCCGGTGTTTCCAGATGACGACACTCAATGAATGGTGATCTCCACTGTGTTCAAACACACGCCGCCGAACCTCAGAGTTACTCACGCGATGATGCCATCGAACGCAAGCAATCCTGTGGAGACAGCGGTGATCGAACACGCAGAGTCGCTACACATCCTCAGCTCGGAGAGGCCAGGTTTCACAGGCGTAGAGCAGCGCAGCCCGCACCGAAGCATTGTATACCCGACCTTTGACAGCCAGGCTAACGTCGCGACGGCGCCAGAGGTGGCTCAAGTTGATGTATGCCTTCATTATACGGTTGGAAATCTCATCCATCACCCCTCCGCCAGCATTCACATAACTACCCAGATACACAAACTTATCAACAACTTCAAGCGGTTCACCCGCAAGAGTGAGTGCAGGTACAGGCTCCTGCCAATCTTGTAACAGTACTTAGACGGTGCAAAGCACATACCATACTTACAGACACTGAAGATTGAATAAAACTGAATCAATATAGCTGTCAAGTTTTTTAAGTACTCTATACTTAATACTGGTTGATCATATGTGTAGAGTGTGACAACTATTAAGGTTAAGTGATCTTGGTTAATTTCAATCTGTTGTGATTTGCAGTTTAATTATTAATAATCACACTGCAAAATCGATTCGTCTATCTTAAAAAATTTGTTTATTCACGTTGATAACTTGTTAAGTAAGATCAGTTAGCCATGTTATATTGATCGATCATTATGCGTATTGCTCTCAGTGTTAATTTTGAAAATCATCGTATCTAATAGCTGAATAGCTGTATTATAGTTCTATGGATTCATTATTCAATATATATACATATATATATATATATATATATATATATATTTGTATATATACGTATAATCAGAGTAAAACATGACCTGAATGATAAACTAACAGAATGTAGCTCATATTATTGCATGATAAACTTTAGTTTTATCGTAAATAATATAGATAGACAGACGGTGAGTGAGTGAGTGAAATAATTCACTCTGCCTTGCAGTTTTCAATCATGCCTTGTACAGTGGCGTTACTATTATTATTATTATTATTATTATTATTATTATTATCATTCATACGCATAAGTATGAATTCACGTGAAGATGTAAACATACACAATACAACGAAATAGACTTATAAAATAACTCTAATATGAAAACATATTACAATTATTACTATTCTTATTATTAACATTTATTAATTAGTAAATAAATAAATAGATATGCATATATAGTCATCATCATTATAAACGTTTATAATAATGATGATAATAATAATAATTATTATTATTTTAGCTTCTGAGGCAGAATTAACCCCGACATAAACTGTACCAATGATTTACTACGGTTGATTTGGTTATTTATCGCATATATTAGATAAGTTTATTTCAATATAAACTGGAATTACATTCTACCACACAGTGTCGAAGTTCTACACTTGTAGCATTATTGGTTAGTTAGTTATACCTCAAGTTAGGCAGGCATGTTTCGTCACCACCTGAAGTCAAACTATTAGAGAAGCATTGGAAACTGTACACTATACAAGACACTATACAAATCCCGTGGTCACACACGACAGCATAAAGAAGATTGGCCAGCACTGTGGCGTCTAAAAGTGAACAGATTACAACATTCCAGCAATTTAATGAGAATCGAATGATCCTCAACAATGTCAACTGATGAGGCTGTTCTGCTAACATCAAATTTTGATATATATATATATATATGTATATATGAGAAGGTGGAATAGTCAGTCAGTCAGACATACTCGATCACTGCAGATATTTTAAAGTTCTTTCCTTCATCATTTTACGTGCCGAGTGGAGCGTTCAGACTTTAGGCTTGAACTTTTGAAATTTCAGAAGCGACGGTGTCTTATCTCTTTTTTACGAGGTGGGGTTACTTTCAAATCAGTAGCACATTATGAGTGATGATGAAAGTGTGATTTCAAGCATACTTAAGTTTTGGCATTTCTGTTATATATATACTGCATGATGTTTAAGTTCAATGGAAACCCTAAAGTTAACCGGATCTGTCCGATCAACAATTCTGTATTTTTATATATTCCATTACAGAGTTAGGGTAACTCAATGGCAATGTATCTTATGAATACTTTTCATCATCGGAAACTACCCGTTACCTGGACTTGGAGAAATATATATTACAATCGAAGCTTGAAACCACGTCATCATTTCTCTAGTAAGTTTCGCGGAAAAACTTGGTTAACAAACGAGTTTATGATAATTCTGGCAAACAACACTCATAAAATACAGCAAAATATTATACCAAAATGGAGATGTTGACCTTTCCATTAATAGTAATTTTCTAAAGATCAGAAATATTTATGGATATTCTCAATGCTACTTATAGTTTTATTAGTAGACGATGTACTATCGTAGTAAATAGATATACTCCAGAATAAGGTATTATCATCAATTCTACCTGAGTTAAATTTGTTTTGACAAAGTCTCACAGTGTTATACAGTATTATTTACTGTATAACAAGGCATTATTAACTGAAGAGAAGAAGTCGAATACAGTTTAGCATGTCAAACACACATGCACCAACACAGAGGGGTCCATCAAGTCAGCCAGGTGAACAGTCACTCGCCTATAGCATTGGCTGGCATTTACACTATAGATATGTCACTAATTCAAAGAAGCTGGAATTCATGTGCCATTCGATCGGGTCCTAGTGGTCAAATGCTCTACGAGCACATCTTGTAACTAGAAGTTTCTTGACTCGGGCCTGTGCTTTTGAAGAGTCCCGAAATAGAACGAAACAGTTGCCAGTAGTTGTCTAACTGATTAAATCTGTAACCAATCAAACCCATGCAAACTAACACTTGAAAATAGTTGAAAATGAAAATTAAACGCTTCAGAGTAACGCGTTGTGTAGAGAAAATCTTACAAATCGTGATGACGATTTACCTTGTAGAGATACTGACAGGTAGGAGAAATTTAGACCTGTGGATATGATGGTATAAGTATCCAGAGTGTGTATGTGCATGCCCGTTAGTGATATTATATTCGAGAAAGCTAACTCTATATTATTCCACTCCAATAGTGGATAATTAATAGTGTGCAGAGCAGAAGATTATGTATCCTGAGAGTTCGACTTCACTTATGGTTGATAGTGAATATACTGATCTGCTAAAGCCTGGAACTGAATAATTGTTCACTAGTTTTTCAAACTTTCGACAATAAAGCACCTGTTAAGTGGGGTTGGTTGCATACAATCGGCGAGAAGCAGCAGACCCTTGGTTTGCAGGGATTTAATTGATTTCAAGTTTATTTACGAACTATTATCACAGTTAGAGAACCACTGGACAGTCATTTCCTCCTACCGTGGGACTGACTCTTCAACACTTTTCCCCCAATCGGGAGTCGAACCCAAGACCTCTATCTAAGTTGCGAGGCATGCTCGTTGACTCTTCAGTCACTGGGACGCAATCCAGTGACCTATGAATTCTAAATCCACCAGACTTGGTGAACTCCACTGTTCACAACTTCTCACTAGACCTCGAAGAACCTTATCCAGTGGGCAGTCACTACTAGTGAACAGTAGATTGATTTCCAAGTTTCAGTTTGCAGAGAGTGTGTGTACTGCTAAAGATCCCCAAAGTAGGATGAAACAGCTGTTCGGTACTCCGTGGTTTTCAATAGTTCTTTAATTGTTGTTAGTCTGTGGTTAGTTTAAACAACAACGAACAACCATTCAGTTTGTTTCGAATCAAGCTCACTATCGATATAAGCAGGTTAATGCGGCTTAGTGTGCTGATAACCCCTTCGACACATTTCACATTACTAGCCTTTATCTTAATCGACTTATTGCCTAGACCTTTGTTCAGATTCACATAATAAAAATGATGCCATAATCGGATGAGTGTACATGAAAAAAAAACATAGCAGTCTTACGCATTATTTATACCTTAAGATAAACTTTGTCTGCCTGCACGTATGACACTACTTTATAAGTTAACATAACAGATGAACAAACAAACTAACAAGCGGAACTTACATTTCAAAGAAGAATTCTACCTATAATGTTAATATTTTAATAGTTCTATGATCTTAGGATTGTCATCTCTACTTTGTACACACACACACACACACACACACGCCTACACACATGCGGACAAACACATTTACACGAAAACCTTCTTTCATATCATTACCCTAATTACAATCAGTCATGCACGTAAAGAACTCTTTCAATCAGCTATACTTCATGTCTGTAAGGTAAGAGACCTTTAATTCCGCGTTGATTCGGAAGAGTACACAGTGATACAGTTCTAATAACTAGATATTGTTTTCAGCGCAATTTATCGCTCATAATCATATCACGAAATGCATCATTGTGTGCTATATGAAGTAAACTTATCCAATATGAAATTATATTGCTTTGTAAACACAAACGTAGAATGCCATTAGGCCCACAGAGGGTTCCACTCCACCTATTACCAACCATTCACTCCTCAGTCTCACCTAGTTTATAAGTCGATAGTAGACTCAGAGGAACAGAGAAGGTTAGGGGTGTGAGAGTAGTAACCCCGTCCCATAAAAAAAACAGCACCACTGCTACTACTGAACTGAAGCTTGAAAGCTTGAAGTCGCTTTATGTTTCATTCTCTGTCTGTCTGTCTGGATTCAACATAGAACTTGGCACCGAAGTGCAGGAGTTCGAGTTGCCACGTTCCAAATAGCACACAAAGGTAGACAAGGAAATGAGTGAAGAGAATCAATAGTTTTTTGACAAGTATAAGAGTGAAACAGAATGAGTAATTTTTGAAAGGAATATGAAAGATTACAGAGGCCGAATACATTCGCGCCATTGACAACGATTTTGAGCCATGTCACCTATTGTCTCCAGCCATTGATTCTTAGAGTCCCGAGGGCGGGCCCCAACCCGGAAGTCTGCATCTCCCTACCTGACTCAGTTTAACTGTCAAGGATTTCATGGATTGATGATGCTATGTTTTTGTTTGGCCACCACTTACCCTTTTCCAACCTGCACCTATATCAGCTAGTAATGTCCGTCGGGGGAGGCAATGGTTATGCATGCGCAGCACGTGACCTAGCCATCTCAATCTATGTAACTTTATAGCCTCTTCGATTGATTTTCCCTCTTTGCCCAACACTACGCCTAACGTCAACATTACTTACCTTATTATGCTACCTAACGTGAGAAAGAGATCGTAGACATCTACGATCAAAAACAGTCAACCTTTTCATGTCTTCAACTCGTATTGGCCATGTTTCAGAGTCATAGAGAAGGACGGAGCGAACTGCTGAGCAGTACACACGTCCCTTGGTTGATAGTCGGATGTCACGCCTACGCCAGAGATGGTGTAAGTTGGTGAAAGCAGTCCGAGCTTTTTGGATCCGTTCTGAGATTTCATCACCAATCAATCTGTTGGTGCTGATACAACTTCCCAAATAGGTGAAGTGTTTCATTCAGAAAGCAAGGAGTGAAAAGTAAGTACATATATGTGGAATTATATTCAACCACAGTGATGAAATTGAACTCTTACACTAAGCTGTAGAATGGAGGTCATATGTAGCTTTGAATGAATAAACAGGTGCTGAAACTACATATATCCCGGTAGAGATTTCCACTGGTGAGAAATTCTATGCAGGAAACAAACTTCTAAACACAGATGACTTGACCAATAGCTCCTTTTTATGTGACAAGAGAGAAATTACTCGCCACTATATTTGATGAAAGAATGAACTTAGATACCAGATGTATGTAAAAGTGACGGAGAAATAGTTGAATTCTTTTTTCCTTGTGGTTACATGTTGTTCTCAAAACGTGACAGTTTTCGACCACAGATAGGATGTGTGGATACTTTTGGCGAGTCACAAGTTATGACGCAAGGGGACCGTAGTCATCGCTTAGCTTTCTACAGTTCTTTTTTTTCAAACTGATACAAATTCATGACTTCATCTGTCCAACATCCTCACAAATCCAACAACAGCAACAACAACAACTCAAAATTATTTCGTTTAAAAAATGTAACTTACCACGATTTCGTCATGTCCATCATCAGGATGACACCATGCGCACCTTTGTAAACATTAATAAAACTGGCATCTAGACATGGTTCAATTTTCGCCTGAAGCAAAAAGTAATTTCGTGAAAACAAATGAGAAGAATGCATGATATATACATATATGTATATAAAAGACTTGGTTGGCTGATTGACTCGTCGGGATACTTGGAACTGACAAAGCGTTAGTGTTGCGTGACCACGGATTCCGATACACAATTGCTTGAGAGCGGCCTGTTTGAAGTGGTTTTCGGAGCTGAAATCTTACTGTCGGTTGGATGGCAGTCCTGATCCTTACGCGGTAGCGCGTATACGCTGGTGATGTACCACCAACTACAGTAGAACATTTGTGCTCCCCTATTTTCAATATTTCTCTAGTTTACCTTCGTTTATCACAAAATTTTTTTCAGAATAAAACCATCTTAATGGTTACTAAATAATATCTGTGAACCAAAAATGTAATAACAAGTGTTGTTAAACCCAAAAAAGCTATAAATTCACTTGGAAACGTTCACTTAGAGCACGTCTCTGGCCCCACACACTTTAACACAGATATGTGTAAATGCTATACCACTTCAGTTAAATTCAAAAAGCAGTGGTCAATGAACAGAGTAAATACTAATAATTCAGTTACTTTTGCCAAGCTACTTATTACTGTTTCAGTAGTCAGTCAAATATAACAGAGCTTTAAGTTAAGTGTTGGTTTGCTGGGATCACCAAATGATATCAGTTAGGAAAACGCTGAAAACTAGCTACTTTATCCTATCCTGAGACTCCTCATCAATGCGTATCCAGGATTTTCAGGTTACGAAGTGGTTCCTTGACTATTTTGTCAAATCATCCACAGTTCGTAAAAGCCATATATATATATATATATATATATATATATATATATATATATATATGAATCTAAATGTTTTCTCCTTTTTCTACCTTTTTGTGCACTATGGAGTGTGGCAACCTGAAATACTGCACTTTTGCGATCATCTCTATGTTGGAATTTAGTCATTTAGTTGTAGAAGGGTGATAGTGGTTCCATAAGGACTGAAATAATTGAATACCTTGTTAGCGCTGGTCACTCTACCTCAACAAGTTCCACCTTCAAAGTGATCCAATAAGTGACCATCAACCTTCCAAAGACAACATATTTTCCCCTCCTTTGCATTGATGAAGCTCTAGGCATCCATATAGAGAAATAAGAGCTCTATATGCAAAATCGAGAATTCTTCAACCACTTCGAAAACAGAAAAGAAATGACCTTGTTGGTATTATTAACTCTTCTATTCTTCGATACTCTTAACCAATATTACATTTCTTTGTTTCTATATGCATCCTGATTACAACTCATCCATTAAATTAATTGTCTCTATCACCTTTATTGAGCTTCTCTTGTGTATACTGATTGCTATAAGCTAACTTGCCGATGACAATTCTTCTCTTTTGTGAAAAATAAACAACTGTATGAAAATATTAAGACTGTATCAAAAGACTCCATCATAGACAAGATTTTATCTTTGATAAATCACACAGTGTTATGCAGTAATATTAACTGATAACATTTCGAGCATTAGAATCAGCTATGTTAGATTGTAAAATCAAACGAACAGAAGAAGGTAAACTGCACACTAGGTGTATTTCTGAAATCTACTAATTGGTCTTATGGGGTAACCTGGTTTATGTATTTTTATAGTGCCATATATTTTGCTAGCGTTATTAGTTTTAAGGCATCGAATTAAACCATTTAGACCTAATTAAACAAAAGAATATAATTTACAAAATACCTTCCAATGACTGTCAGTTAGGTCAACTACATAGGTCAAACTAGTAGATCGGGAGTAGTGAGATTATCAGAACATAAGAATCTAGCTAAGGTTAGAATGACTGACCCCACGAAAACAAGTAATTTAGAAATAAAACTAAGCAATCTCACTGCATGCATTGACACTACCACACAACAGGGTGGAACAGATTCAAAATTCTAAAACGTAATACAGGTAGGTGGAGAGAGAGAGAGGTTGATTACTGAATCCTACCTGGTTCATCGAGTCTACACGCAACACATGCAATAGAAGTGACTCAACGCAAATACCAGAGATATGGAAAATATTACTACCAGTCAAATCAGAGGAGGATAATCAATAATCTTAAAATTCTATTTCAATTCACACACATTATGACATTCTAACAAGTTACTTATTTCTACTGTAAAGACATCTTATTTCCCATCTGATTGTATCTGATTGATGACACTAATACTATTTCCGAATGTACTTTATCTTACTTATATTGATTGCTATTCAAACGTCTAATCATGAATTTTTACTCACGTATATAAATGAAGTAAAAAGTTGTGTGAGTGACTTGATATGATTGTGAGCAATAGTTTGTACTCAAAATGTCATCAGTTAATATTACTGTATAACACTGTGTGATTTATCAAATAAAATCTTATCTATAACGGAGTTTTACTCTACCACAGTGCCTAAGTTTTATACTTATATCAATAATGTATGAAAATACAATTGTCCAACTAAAGAAAATGAATTCAGCGAAAAGGATCTCTTTGCTGAACTTTTGATTGGACACTAGTAACTAGTAACTAGTGTGATGTGTCTAGTCCTCTCTTTGGTGCAGACGGAATTCTAACAGTCAGGTTTGTACTGTGGCCACCATTCTAGGTAGCTCTCCATCACGGTGCACATTGATTTGATGACATTGGATGGTTGGAGGCGATCCGCAGGAAGCCTTGGACCTGGATTTTGTGCTAGTTGGCACTCGTCAGGCAGGCGTATCTGCGACCTTGAAGCAATACAGTACAGTTCCTCAGGAGGTCGATCGCAAGCCCGAATAGCTCAGTGGTAGCATCTCTGACTGCAGCACTGGGTGACGCGGGTTCGAATCTCAGAAGAGTTCCTCCAAGGTTGCAGATACGCCTTGTTGACTGATGAGTGCCACCTAACACGAAACACCTAGATGCAATGCTTCCTGCCGATTGCCTTCAACCATCTAGTGTTATCAAATCTTCTCTGAACTGTTTGTTTTGTTTTTTCAGAGATAGAAACGTAAAACAAGTAAAAGAAAAAGAAGAAAACTTACGGATTCGCCAGTGATATTTCCACTAGTTGGATTACTATTTGTTAATTTACTGAGAAATTTCAAGCCTTTTGAAGTATTTCTTGGTTTGCCTTTATCAACTACATCCCAAACTTCCACTTTGATTACACTTTGAGAATTTTTATGATTCCAGTGAATATTTGCCAACTGGAACGAAAATGATGTTAATGAAATAGGCATAAGTGTAATTTTAAGAAAGGATGACACCAGGATTAAATTGTGAATCTGTAACCGTCATGATGACAATAATAATAACTAGTTAGGACAGAAATAATCAGAACATAGTATATTCAAACAAGGTCCCATTACCTATCTATAGTTTTACAGTACAACTTAGTGGAAAAATTTAAAACAATTAATCCCTTTGGTAAACTCAGATCGAGTTATTAGGAGACGGCATTTATCAGAAGAATAGGAGAATATACGCTCTAATGGCTGAGAGAACAGTTGAACTGCGGAACCTCGATGAACGCAATTGGTAGACTGCTAACTTCGTCTGTAGCAAATCGCAAGACTGATATCAAAACAGCTTTCAAGATTATCTATAAAAAAATTGTTAACGCTACGACGAATTTCCTTAATTCAACACTCCCCTCCCCAGCACTGTGTACAAAACCCCCTTGTTATTATCCTTAACCTTGGTAATCCTTATCTGAGTATATGTAGACAGAAAAACAATGGATTATCCTTTTATGGGTGATATGTTGATGAGGGTCAGTCTGGGAATAAACCACAGATGGTTATATATCCTTTTATAGATATCTTCGCTCACACCTACGTCATTGGCCATGTATAAATATATATATATATATCATCGTTTCCCTTTGAAGATATGCTGGTATGCATACTTTCCAATGTACTTTTAGTCTCTCATCGTTGTGTGTTCTCGTTCATATACAGAGAGAGGGCTGGGAAAACAGGTAGCGGTTGTATACGATGATGGAGTAGCCTAGCAATACTTGTGGTCACCGTTTTTGTGTTCAGTTTCGGCGTCTCTACCCCCAATCGAACGTTTTGTTTTTGCAAAATATAAATAAAAGTACCAACATCATAACAATTAATAATATCAAAAGTAGTATTAATTATTATCCCTTCATATTCTTAATTCGTTCATCAGTTTGTTTATTTTAATTGACCTCTACATTTTTCCATTCTTCATACAGATTGGATTTGACAAATGTAGGTGTGATCAGATTGTTCAAAAGGTATTGATTGAGCAGGCAAATACATCACATCTTTTTCCGGTAAACTCCGTCTTCTAATAACACGCTAACCTAATTCCACGAAACAACTGCTTGGTGGCATTGAAATCTAGAATGCCTATCACATCCAACTTAGAGATATTTTTCTGGCTAGGTGCAGTGAGAGTAAAAATTGTGTGATTCACTTGAACGTGAACGCACAGCATATAGTGTTCCACATTCAAAACGCTAGACTACTTAGCTAAGAGATTATTCACCTGTTGCGTGATGACTGTAATTAAATGTCATTTATGTATACTTAAGATTTCACACTGATATTTCTTAAACCAAAATTATTATTAGCATCTTCCGACATATTGCATCTTTAAAAAACTGTGTATTGAGTTTAATTAACAGTAAGAGAGAAAAGCATGTGAGAAAAAGTGATGCACATTAGTCAGCCTTAAAAAAGTGAATTGCACATTCCTCAGATATGTACCACAAATAGAGTATGTATTATTAAGATGAGAGTATCACTAGCTTTAAAGAATAATAGAGAGAATTTTCTATGTACAAAGAATAGAGAGAATACTTAGTAGTTGCCTCAGCTACCACCTCAGTGTAGAATGGAACTACACATACACACCGAGATGATTTACTTCCTCTGACCTTTCATGGTCATCCCACATCTTATTGTTCTCTAAGAAAATGTTTCGTCTTACCTTCCACATTAAAAAGTTAAGACAATCAGGTATCAACCAACCTTTGGTTCTGCAATTTTTAAACTCCTGTATTTTACCTATTGTACTCTATTGTTCTCCATTAATCTTTCCTGGGCTTCTTAAAAAAGACTATGTCATATTACGAAGGGTATTAAATGCTGTGAGTAGGGCTTGTGGTTTGCCACTGCGTGAGCTCGTCAATACTATAGTCGAGAGACACGTAAATTCCTGTACAAAGTGGGCAAAGGCCGTACTGTCAGACCCTCTGCACTCTCTTTATTCACAACTATCCCCTTGTATCTCATCCGGTAGAACGAGAAGTCAATATAAGAAATTATATGCTCGTATCACTAAGTACAAAAATTCTACAATACCGTATTTAGTCCGTATTTTATGTGATGAAGACTCTGTTAGACGTGAAACATATAAGTTACTATGTAGTTAGCATAGTGAATCGACCCTTTCATTGTTCATCTTTCTGTAATTTTATGGTGTCAACCTTTCTATCGTTTAATTATAACTTTCCTATTTTTATTTTAGTTGTTATTACTATTATTACTATAATTTTATACTTTATGCGTATTTTTATCCTTATCGTCTACTGTAATTGCTACATAGCTGCTATAAAAACGTTTTGTTATCATTATTATGTAATGATTATTTCGTTAATTTATTTTTTGTTGTTGTCGTTTTTGAGTAAATTAGATGCAATATTGTACTCAATGCTGAAAATTCCTTGCTGTATCATTAGTACTGTTTTTGGAATAAAGCAAATTATTATTATTATTATGCATCTCATGAAAAAACCAGTACATTAATCCTAGTACAACAGCATAACACAATGATATTTGATAGCATAATTGCTGATTTGACAAAAATGATGCAATAGTAAGGGCGAAAATGTAAAAACCTTACATGAAAACGTCACCTAGCAAATGTCACCACTGTTCTGCTTATTTCGCCTTCCTTTCATGCTCTTTAATTCTGTTTCACAATGATTTCTATTTCTTCTCTTTGTAAATTCATCCATCGCCCTGTTTTTCAAGATTCTTGCAGAAGATGTCATCAACATACTACTTAGATATCGGCCGTCGTCAGTAGCACACACCACAATATTAGAATCACTGTCGAGCTTATTATACTTCAAAAATGTTTACTTCAACGTTGAATTATTCAAAAAGATGAAAGAAACATCAACTGTAGGATATTCATATGAATAAAGTGCACAGACAGCACTACGAAAGATGAAGTCGCTTATGATATATATTTGGTTAGCGGCTGGTTTTAGGGGCTCAGTAGGTATGACACCAACGTATTAGTTCGAAGACCACTGGTTACCTTAAGCTATATATATATATAAGGTGTTAAATGAATTTGTAGAAAGTGAAGCAAAATATTTGAGATAAAAGTTTGCCTACTTGTGAGTAGTTTCATCAACAATACTAAATTTTTAGAAAAATACAGCAAAACAAACCTGAATTTCATTGGATGGAATATATTCCTCCTTAAATTGTTCACCTTTCAAACGAGAAAGTAATGTTGATTTGCCAACATTGCGATCACCACGTATCACAATTTTTACTGAAATCAAAACAAATACATTGACATGATTTTATTGTTAGTTGAAAGAACGAGGAAGTGAAACGCATTTGAAATTAATTGGCATATGAACTCCTTAAACAGATGCATAGTGGATGGTGTTTTGGCGTCTGGAGCGATAGGTACTGGGTTCGAAGCTACTTGGTAAAACGATCACTAACTTGGGAGTAGGTACGACCAGTCGATGGGTCTCAAACGGGGCGAAACACGCTCCATCGATCCAACTGTTAGCCAGAACCAAACATGAAATACATTTAGTTACTAGATATATAATATCAGTTAGAGAACCACTGGAAAACTAGGGAGTACTAGACAGCTATTTTGTTCTAATCTGGGACCCTTCAGCGGTACGCACACAAAGGACCGTTCAGCCATTGAGACCATATCCAGTGGCCCATGAATTCCAACTTTTGCCAATTCGTGAGACATAGCGCAACTGCCAGACAATGCCTTAGGCAAGTAACTGTTCTGTTACCTGACCAAGTGACTCTGCTAGCAGTTGCGCTTTATATCGTGAAGTGGCAAAAGTTGGGATTCATAGGCCCTTAGTTCGGGAGCCAATGGTTAGATGGTTTACGAATTCGTCTTTTAACTGGGAGATCCCGGGTTTGAAACCCGGTGAGCTTGCACTGCGGAAGACTCCCAAAACAGGATGAAAGAGCTGTCCAGCACTCACTGGTTTACCAGTGATTCTGTAACAGATATATAGTAATCATGTTTTAGTGGCCCAGAAGCAGTATATCAAACGGCTGAACACGTTTATCTCAGAAAAATGAGGTACACGGTGTACTACAGGGTGTGGTAGATTTAAAAAACGAAGCAATATGAAACCGCATACTACAAAATGGTTCAAACTCTAACCATATTAAAGAACGACTATACTTCTTGCAAGTTGTAAACATGCCTTGATAATGATTGAGTGTAGATAAAATAAAAGCCTATAACCAGAGTTCTCTGTCGAATAAATCTATTAAGCGAAGAAAATAATATTTATCCTGTTGCCATTGTTGCATGCAAGCATTTAAAGATTTGAGTTATGCGCGGGCGGCTGTTACAAATTAGGAAAATGGATGAAGGTTCCTGGACTGTGCTGATTCCTGCTAAGATTGACCGGTAACAGAACTTGTTTATAATTTGTGATGTAAAAAAATAACACAATCATACAGCACTAAATTAAATCGAAGAATAATGTAGTCTTCACTGAACCATCATTAGGGAATGGACAATGTAGTGCTGTCTACTCCCTATTGCTGACTGAATTCTATCGATCAAACCTTTCACCACAAACCATCTAACACGTGTTACGTATACCGAGCCACCGCCTTCCTCGTCGAACAATGTTAGCTGACATACGGTTAGGTTGGAAAGATGTCAGGATAGGTAAAATCAAAATATGACATCAATCCCTGAAATCTCTGACCATTGGTCTCTGCCATGTACGGAGGTGAGGATTGCTTGAAGATTAATATTTGTTCCTGTTAAAAATTTGGAAATGCCCACAATTTTGGATACTATGTTATAGACTTAATGTGCAGATAACTAGATTATAACGGTCATTTGTCATATATGAGACAACCATATTACCTGGATGGCAAGCTACCAAGGGGATTCAGGCAAGCGGACTACTAAGAAGGAGCTACACTCATATAACTGATATGTTATAACTTGTAATTAGTATTCGAAAGTTTCTTTACATATTCCTTGCATTCCAAGCGGAACATAGGGTTTAAAGCTTTAAAGCTTCATCGGAGGTGTTTTTTTACGGGGTCTAGATGAAAGTAAACTAATGTCATGCTTGATACTGTCTCTAAACCATGCAGTAGATTACCGCACTCATTTCAAAGTGATGAACGACTCCAATCCTGGCTCTGACATCTTCATTCATACCAGTCACCAGTAGCTGAAACGATGCTACCCGGCGATTCTTGCTTCCTGTTGTTGGTTGGGTATCTTCTCTATGTCCACCTGAAATCCTGTCTTGACTTCGTTTGCCAACTTGTTGGATTTCGCTCGTGTATCGTCATCTGTGTGCGACACAGGACAAAGGTCATCCGTGAAATGCAAATCTAGGGTGTTTTTTGTGTCAGTCCAACGTAGAACCGCCTTCCTACTCTTCACATTCTGCCACATGACCCATTCCCCCACAATTAAGATCTTCGGTAATGGTAGAAAGCCATATCTTACTGCTGTCTTCACTTCAACACCTCGCTGAGTCTCCTGTTGTGAAACACTTGGTATTTAGAATCCTTGAATAGCTGTTAAATGAAGGTTTGTCGCACTATATAGTTCTGAAGCAGCTGCCAAATTGCATCGTGATAGCTGCTCTCTGATAGTGGTTGTCTTCCAGATGACTGGAGGAGAATAGATTATTAACCCTCCAGTTGACAATTTGGGGAGTCCATTGCCATCCCATATGCTCTAACAGATTCTTCATACTTCTATAACATATCTTCTCACTTCTTTTGCAATCTGAGCAGCTTTTCCAGCCGGAAACTTAATGCAAACACATCAACCGACTGGCTTCTCAAACACTTTCTCGATTCTAGCGAAAAATAAGTTTATTTTCTATACTGCTCCTCTGCTTTGAATTTTCTGGGATGGAGTCACTAGACTCATGTCTAATCCTCCCTCTTTTTCCGGGCTTAGCAGATAAACTAGGCGAGATCATATATATATAGCAACCCAATGGAAGTGACTGGCCCCAAATTTACCACTACTAGATGTTATTTATAAACTACATGCGATTTTCACAGACCAGTGTTTCCTTCAATATGAGAAAGTATTTTATGCTGTGCTGCAAATAAATTAGTTACTCGTAAATGACTCAATTCCTAAGTTGTCTTTTGCAGATTTATAAATAAGGCATACTCATCTATAAGTCTAATTCTACCCACATTAGTGCTATTTATTGTAAGTCAGTCATCAGGAGGGTTTGGAGCTATGTTCGCCAATTAATGCTTCTTATCAGAAGAATACACCTACTATCTTGAAGAAACTCAAGTTAGCTCAAAAATTTCGAAATGACCTAAATCGTTGAAGTAGAACTTTGCACCGAAATGCATCAGTTTAAGCTGTCATAACCTTAGACAACCACACATAAAAGTATGCAAATTAAATTTACTAGATCTCCAGTGAGCTGTCTGTTTTCGACATAGAACTTTGCACATATGTGCGGCAGTTCAAGTCGCCACACTCCCTCCATGTACCACACAAAGCAAGAGAAGAAAGTAGGAGAAATGCATAATATAGACAGTAAACAGAGGTGTGAGACAAAGGAATAGTAATAACGGAGAACAAAACAGTTTAATTGGAAATCATAAGTCACAAGGAGTGAACGCATCTGCATAATCCAATGAGAACGATTTTGAGCCATGTCACCAATTGTTTCCAACCATTGGTTTTTACCGTCCCGAGGACCCCAACCAGGAAGTCTACACCTTCCTACGTGGCTTAGACTAACTGTTGTGGATTTCATTGACTGGTGCCATGTTTTCGTTTGACCGCCGCTAGCTCTTTTCCAGCCTGACCCTATATCAGCTAACATTGCCCGTCGAGGAAGGCGATGACTAGGCATACGTAACACATGTCCTAACCATCTCAGTCGATGTAATTTCACAGCCTCGTCGATTGATTTCCCCTCCTTACCTAGCACTCGATCGATGCCTAACCTCAATATTGCTCACCTTATTATACCACTTCACACAGAAGATAGAACGCAGACACCTATGATCAAAGACAGCTAACCAGGCTTTTCATGTCTTCCACTCTCAATGGCCAGGTCTCACAGCCATAAAGGAGGACGGAGCGGACTGATGAGCAGTACACACGCCCTTTGGTCGATAGCCGGATATCACGTCTACGCCAGAGACGGCGTAAACTGGCATATGCGAAACTAGCCCTCTGTATCCGTGCTGAGATTTCGTCAGAGATCAACCCGTTGGCACTGGCTGGTGGTACTTCCCAAGTAAGTGAAGCGGTCAACGTGCTCTATCACTTCACTTCCTATTTCTAATCTAGGAGTCGGTGTAGTCCAATCCTGTAACATCATCTTGCATTTGGCGGGAGCGAATAGCATGCCAAACATTCGTAGATTGCAGCTCAAGGTGTTCAGAAGACTCTGTCTCCAGTGAGCGAAAATATATAGAAGAAAACAATCAGATTAAGATTTCAAATTCGATAACAAACTGAAATCAGTGACAGAACGACTGAAAAACAGGGAGTACCGGACAGCTATTTCATTTTAATTTGGAAACCTTCAGCAGTACGTGCATATTACCTTGCGGGGATTACTGGACACTTCTAGAATCGAGAAAATAATAAGAAGCAAATACTGCGCCATGTCATAGACGGTCTTCACTAATTGATTCTTAGCATCCAGAGGACTTCAGGCAGATAGTTTATACGCCACACACCCCTAGTGTGGTTCAAATCAACAGTCAAAGACTTTCTGGGTTCGTCTGACCTTCGCTGACTCTTTTTTGACCTGAGGCTATTTTAAGTAACAATTTTAGTCTTAGCTCCAAGATTTCGCTCTGTGTTATTGATGACTGAAGTCAGCAATTTTAAGACTGGACTACTTACGCTAACTCATCACAGAATCAGGTGACACATACACTAATTGGTCAACGATAAACTTTTATAGCTTCTTCTCAATGATTTGGGCACTTTCAATTGAAATGCCTTAGAGGTCAGGCCTTCTCTTCGCATTGGGGTTGCAACAGTTAGGTATTATAAAATAGGTGTTTCTTTGGTAGGTGTATGTGTTCGTGTACAGTTGAAAGTTACACCATTACAACATTCTTAGTGCCAAACATCAACAAATTAAGTAAAAAAAAAAAAAGAACAAAGTAAACAAATAGACAGATAAAAGTGATTTAGCCTGTATTCTTATAATTCTAAACATACAATTATAGTCAACTCCACGAGAAAACTTCTGTTGTAAAAATGCCCCAATAGGCTGTATATCTGTAGATGTATGCTTTTTCACAGTTGTAGCATCATTTTTTGTCCACCAGTTTTTAACCACAGACATTGTAAAGTATTACGCTGGAAAGTATATCGAAAACATTTGTCTCCTGATATAGTGAAAACGACCAGTCAAGGTGAACGTCAGTGCTCCTTGTGAAATTAGGCGGAGATGTCCATCGTGTATTTGTTATCTTTGTGAAGATGCTAAATTGAAAAAAAGGCAAAATGTCAGTGACGAAAGAATACATAGAAAAGACTGTGTCTTTATCATTATATAAACTTAATGGAAAGCTTCTCCACAGTGTGCTGTAGGGATTTCATTGTTTTGCAGTTTTTATCACGGATTGATGTCAGCTACAGAAACCATTGAAAACCAAGGAATACTGTACAGCTGCTTCGTCCTAGTTTAAGACTGTTTATCAGTGCGCATCCACGAAACCACCAGGCATTGAAACTGGGATTTTCAGGTCACAAGGTGAGCTCGTTGACCATTCAGCCACTTGGGCTGGGATTCAATGACCGCTGAATCCTAACTTCGTCGATTAGCGATTTTTTGCCCGATCACGAGCCAATGTCATCGGCGGTGAACCTCCCTGATCACGACTTCATCCTGTGGTCAGTCACCAGTCAGTATCACATTTATTTTCAAGAGTTTGTTTGTAGGGGTAACTTCGCCTAATGTCGACGTCAACAAGACTATCATGACAGATTACTGGGTCCGGTTAAAACTCAGTTATCCAGGACAGATTATGAATGTGCCAGGTTAAGAGCCACATTTATTGTGTGACGCCTAGGTGAAGTAATTGGAAAGCGACTCAAACCCTGGACACACTTTCGCAGAGTTAACTTCCTAGCCTAAAGGGCTACATCTCCACATCTCTAAAGGACGGTTTGTCGTCAACGGTTGGTACCTTATTTTCATGTCATATTGTGACACACTTTTACCCTCTCTCTATTTATCTCGCCTTTTTAGTTTCTCTACCATTCCCCTATTATTCCTTACGGCCTTGATACACTGACATGATTTGTGGAGCGAAAAATTAACATTCATGCTTATAATAAGCCTCCTTTTTGGAGTTTCAGTTAAAAGAAAAGTATATGACGAGGGATCGCTGAAATAATGCCGTTCTCTATGAAAATAGATTTCCACTCGTGATGATAATGACTATTAGTTAAATGGAAACCTGGGTAAACTTTCTTTCCAATACATTAAGTGGAGGAAAGTAAAACAAATTTAACTCTCTGGCGTCTATAGTGAAGTGAATTCATTATACCAACATGGAGTACTTGTACAGTGTAATCAAAAACGGTAGCCAACCTAAATTGAATAATTATTTCTCAAATAGTTTATAAATTGTATTGTAAACGCTTGTCGTAGATGCCTAGTTTTCCAACAGCTCAACTGCATAATCAACAGGGTTACCATTATGAGCAACCAAATGGCGTCTGGTGGTCACTACGCAACCAGTAGTATCGTATAAACTTTCCGTAAACTATTATGTAACTGTAAAAGGTGAATAGGAGGATGCAATGATAGTCTTTAAGTGTATTTTGTTGCGTATGCAATTGTCCCATACTTTTAATAGATAGAGTTTTCCATTACATTACATTCGTAACCTTATTGATACATTCAGATGTATCAATGAAACAAAGAGTGGATTTGTTCTGCAAAGAGTAGACGGGAAGTTTTCCAAGTATTACTAACGTTTATTAATATGCACTCTTCACCTCACATTCCATTATTAGTATGAATCGATTTTTATTTAAGATCAAATTCATATACGCCTATTATCACATGTAGCAATTCTTCTCTTCACATAAAACTCTGCAGAATAACTGTCATTTAAGTTTCGCAAATTATGAAAATATCTTTAAAACCATTAAATAAAATGTTTAGAGAAAAAGTTGAAATCTTGTCCAAATTTTAGTTACCACTAAACGTCTCTCAACTATACCTGGATAATCGACGCAACACATATGTAAAGTATTGGTCTAGACACTAGATACTAATTCGATTGCTTTTGATCCTATCATCTACGTATTATCACTGGTTTTAACTCATTAAGTATGAACAGTAGTTAAGCCAGAAAACCCTCATTATCTTGTAATGGTATATAAACTGCGAGTGGATTTGGTAAGCACCAATAAAATTATTATTCCGTTATTCTCCATTTGAATTTGATGTGCAAAACATATAAAGTCATGTTTTTTTAGAGGTTTTCACGTGTAAATCAGCAAATTAATGCAAAAGACTGCAAAGCTTGATTACTTTGTGGTGGTCAAAGATTTGCAGCCTTTACCCTTAACGGCCATATTTAATAGCCACAGAGTGGCACAGGGAACACTCCATTGCAAATAAGTGACCGGTTAACTTTTTGGAAGGCTAAAGTCGGAAATCCTGTTTGGCACCGAAACACCAGAGCCGATGTAACTTCACTATTTAGAGCCAAAAGAACCATGGCTACGTATGAGTTCTTAGGAAACAATTTATGTGTTAGAGGTGAGAAACTCATCACAAACAACTTAACATTCTCATTCGAAGTACTCAGAGAACCTGTATCTTATCATCTTCATTTATCATAACTGTATTACTTACAAACTCTAAGTCATTTACAGGAACTTTCATGAGGACATCCATCTCTAAGAAGTCTCATACGAGTATGAGGCTTCCATACTCCATATTCGATAGTTGGATAATACTGATAAAAGAGAACATCGGTGACGGACACCATTGGACGCGGACTCCAACACGACTACAAGTGTATAGCGTGTACTTCTTATGTTTTCGTTTCAGCGAAAGACACTGTCACAAGCCCATTCCATTAACGGAGTCAAATTCCGCATACAGGTCAAGAAGTAAAGTTATTGTCTCTCTTCTGTGGCTAGATCCACGTTCCATGACATGACAGATAGTGAGTATTTAGCTAATTCATTTGCGATTGGATGTGAAACCCGCTTGGTAGGTTATTCACCATCTGTGATTAGACAAAATAATTTCCGGGCTGATCTCTCAGTAATTACCACAGGAAGATTTCCCTTCCCTAAAACATGGACAGACGGTCGGAGTGAATAAATATGCTATACTATCAAGTGAGACTAAGACCTGGTCTGAAAATGACCAATAAAAATTCTCCACGTTAATTAAGATTAGCCATTAGATTCCTGTATAAGTGACCAGTTTTACCGAGTACACCATTCAGCTGCCTTGAAGACAATTTTCATATACCAAGCGGGATGATGATATATGGTCACCTAGGCTAAGAGTAAACGGTCCATATCTCTTTATGCATACACTTAATAGTTTCTTTTGTTTGGATTTAAATGTTTTCTGCATTGATACTTAATGATATTTCTGACCAGAATGTAAATCCAATGCATTACAGTATGTTTCACATCATTATTTACAGCTGACTGAGAACTGATTAGCCCATCGTTCTTATTTACTTCCAAATTTTAAACACTTGAATCTGATTGAATGGATGTGGAATCAGTAGAGAACTTTGCACAGACATACACCAGTCTAAGTTAATCTATTTAAAAGGAACACGAAAGAAGGAATGTAATGACATTGCGACAAAATAAGTTGTGCGGTAACTAAATATTATTTAAGGGTCAACTGAACTTTCCCTTAAAGTGATTTACATATCACCCCAGCCGTACTTCTGTTTTTGAATGATTGAGTTTCCCTTTCCAGTTATGGGTTTACCTATCACATGGTTCTAACGTTAGTTCCTCAGGTCACTTCAGAGATTTGTCTGATGCTACCTTTTTCATTCCCTTAGACTTTACAGACAGTCAATACCCACGACCATCAAAACTGTACCCTCCCTTACTTTTGAGTTTCATCTGTTCTTCACCAGGCTTAATGTCTCACGGCACACAGTAGTTCTAGAGAAGCTATGATAAACTTAGGCACATCAGGTTGCAGAACAACTTGGTTAGGGACAAGTTTACTTAGGAAAAATTATCGACAAGCTGTCGTTTTTCTTAATACTATGAAAAAATTCATGTGAATAACAGGCACCCAAGACATAAGAATTTCACTTTCCTCACACTTATACTCACTAAGTGAATTATCATTATGTTTTTGTGCCGTCTTATAAGTGTTTTTTGCAGTGAGATTAAACTGAAGTACTTTTGTGAAGAACTTTTGCAAATCCTTATCAATCTATAATCGTGTAGAATTAAGAAGACAAGTCAGAAAAGCAACCACTTTTAATGATCGAGAAGTTAGGTTACGGCACATTATCTAAAGCATTAGACTTTTAGCCAATGGATTTCTGGTTCAAACCATTAACCTACTTCGGCTTGGGTGACTGCGTAGTATCACTAGTTTAGACAGAATAAATGTCGCACATAGCCTAGTGAACAAGAAGCCTGTTTCGAGAAACTGAGTTATTTTAACCAATGGTCGAGAATAATTTTGATTCCATAGTGGTAGTGAATTATCTTCTAGAGTAGGCTATCGATATGTGACATTTAATTACAGTTAAACACCATAATTTTTGCATTTACGACTTCAATCAGCATTAAATAAAAGTAATGTACGAAGTCTTGTAGCTGATGTACTGGAAAATTTCTCTAAAACAACGAAGCAGAACTCATATATGAAGAAGAGATTTTTGTGGCAGGCTGCCACACCCAGTTGCCAGGCTAAAGTAGAAGTGGTCGGATTCGATGTCGTTACCTTTTGGATGGAAGTTGAGTGCCCTAGCCAGTGAACCAGGCTAAACTAGTTGAAATAAATCTACGCGTATTGTGAATGAAATACACCACAAACAGTTAAACAATAACTCGCCATTCACAGATTCTAGTGGAAGTGGTACCATAATTTTAAAGACTTGAGGGAGTGACATTCAAAAACATCCAATTTTAATATATATTAATATATATTATTATTAATATATATTAATATATTAATATTAATATATTCTTTGAGCGAAAAGTGACAAATTTCTCCGTTTAAAATATACCGACAGCTTGACTCATAAAAGAGCATTCCAAGGGAAATTTGTATGCACTGTGATAACTACAACATTAATTGGTGCATTTTTACAAGTTTAGTTTTATTGGCAACAGATACAACTAGTACATACGTAATTAGATACAACTGAAATCACATTCGAAAAATTGAAAGATTAATCAAGGATTAAGATAGAAAAGTTATTTTTAAGAACTAACACTAACTGAATTAGTAAAAGCAAAAACAGTTATCAGCTTAATTAATTTTACACTTTAATACATTATATAGATGTTTTACACCAACGCATTAACTGCTGTAAAATCGGATGAAGCTGAATTTCCCAGATTAAAAAAATATGCCACAATTTATTCATAGTTCTGTTACCTTTGTATGCCTTTAAAAAGTAACGAAAACACTCACATAGGAAAGAGACGCAAAATTTTGAATTGACGCCCGTTTATCTGGGATCCAATATCCAATATCGTTTTTACGAGCTAGTATAAACCAATTTGATTTCTTTGTGCTCGCCTCTTGATTGTGAGGTAGAGGTTCTTGATCTTCGGTAAACGTCTGCGTAGCTCGTCCCGCCACTTGACTGTCGTAGCTTTGGTTGACTCAAAAAGGAGTAGTGCAGGGATTAATTATATGTGGTTTGTAGTATGAGGTGTGTTAAGACTGTTACTACTGTGAATGGAGTTGATCCTTTCACCAGTTGGTCCTTCGGTATCGTCGTCAATAGAAAAGAGATAATAATAATAGATATAATTAGTGAAGGTATTCAAACTAACAGACAGAGAAGGAATAAGAAAACGTAACGACAGTCAGTCAACCGGTATATATATATATGTATATATATATATAATGATAATAATAATAGGTGTAGTTAAAGCTGTCAGGAGAGTAGACGGAAGAGAATGTAAAGAAGTAAAACGACGAATTTAGTTGTCTACCCATGAATGGTGTATGCGATTTTAAAGGGATAGGCCACGTGAACTCAGTCCTTGTGTCTCTGCATGTTTGTCCAGCTTTCGCTTAAAGCCGTCCATGGACGGTGCCGTAGCTATATCTGCCTGTAAGCAGTTCCATGGACGGCAAACCCGCAGTGAAAGGAAGTGGGAGCCCACCTGGGTCCTTGCCCTCTGGTGAGATATCCTTCTGGGGTTTCCACGAGGAAGCCTATACCTACTCAATGGCAGAACGCCCTTGTTTGGGTGATTCTGGTCATTTATCATATTGCAGGCAGTAATCGAATCCCTCTAATCCGACGGAAGCCAAGTGTGAATAGGCCTAATTTCGTTAGCCTTTCATCATACGGCTTATTTCGGAGACCCACCACTGCTGGGGGATGCGGAATGTTCGTACTAGATAAGAATTTAGGAAGGTTGCCCAGGTTACCAAGGAAATGAGAAAATATTGCATAGAAGTACTAGGAATCTGCGAGAGCAAGTGGGATGGATGTGGACCTTTGGAAACTAACTTTTCTACCAGAATAATTATTCAAATTACCGGTTGACAGCTGATGATATCATGGAAGAATAAACCCTTATTTCCGAAAGCATGGCAGGGACGAAGTGCAGTGGGGAACCTGGTAAAACATACTGTAAGGCATTCATCATTCACTAGGTAGAAGAAACCCGTAAAAATCACGAAGAAGAAATAGTTCTTACTTAGTTACTTGCCGTATACTTCTGAGTTCCTTAATTATCTATTACATCTGAGTACCTGTATCAAATTGTATGACAGAAGCCATGGAGACTATTCAAACTGTCGACGGAGGAGTCAGAAATCTGCTCTGTTCAGCAAGACGACAACCAGGAGAAAACTGAAGGAGGGAGTGCCTGTCATAATATCGCCAACAGCAGTCGAAGTTCTTGTGCAGTGGGAACCAGTCTCCTCTGTTATAACGACAATGAGATTCTAGTCAAAAGGAACGTAAGTTACATTCATGCAGTTCAGTGCACCTAAAGGCAACTCAGAACAACAGAAGAAAGATTTTTACAGAAAAGTACAAACAGTAATGGATAAAATCTCAAATGTAGACACCAGAATCCTAATGGGCAGTATGAATGCTATACTGGGTGCGGACAATACTGGAAGAGAATTCACCATCCATCATGTGGCTCCCCACGAAATAGATGGGAACGGAGAACTCACACACTTCTGAGCTTTCAGTGACTTGGTGATTCGAGGCAGCGTGTACAAGCATAAGGATATACGCAAGGCGACATGGATTTCGCCTGAAGGACACATCAAAAATAAGACAGACTTCATCCCAACACTGTTCAAGAGAGCGCAGACGCAGTCTGCCAGACACGGAGTCTAGAAGGAGAGCAGATTTAGCCTCTGACAAGCATCTATCTCAAGGAACTTCCGGCACCAAGCCGAAGGCCTTCAGAACAACTAAAAACAGACAAAACCTCATGTTAAACACCCAGAAACTGAAGAGCGAAACCACAGAAAGCACCTACTTCGCAACTATCAGAGCAATATTAGAGACATCGCATAGCATCGCCGAGAGAACCTACGTAGAATAACACTGAAACTCTGAAAGTGACGTCGAAAAAAGCCTGCGGATCCATCTTAGGAAAGAAAGAAGGAAGTAATCGCTCTTCACAGGCACCTGGAAGGCACAGGAAGACGATATGGTTACGGCGGAAGAATGTATAAGTCAATTCAGAATCGGACAACAGAAGGATTAACTGAGTTCAATGTACATCGCTCTGAATGAAGCAGTGAAAAGTGCTCGGAAAGACAAATGACAATTGTACGACACACTGGAAACTAAAGTAAAACCTTCCATGGGTAAAGGAAACTTCAGAACATTATACCAGATAACCAGCTGTCTATGCGATAAGAGATCAACGCAGATGAGGCCAATAAAATATGGTCAAAGATACCTAATTAATAAAGAGGAGAGACGAACGAAACGGCGGGCTCACCAATTCAGAGTACTCCGGGACCGGCCATACCTGCAATTCATCTATAAATACCGCCAACAGAGACTGAACTTGCCCAGTTAATACACATATGATAAGAATAAAGATGATTAAAATGATGTATTAGGGGGGTAGACTTGAAGCGGATGAATTACGGAACTTTTAAAGATTATTAAATAAGTGATTTGGTAAAAATGAATCAAACAAAAAACATTACTACTAACAAGGTAAAAAAGGGGTCTAGTAAGACGTTTTCGAACACACAATTTAGGTTTCTGTCCATGTACATGTAGAGCTTCAGTCATGTATAAGTGGAGGAAACCTAAGCTTTCTGAGTGGTTGGATTTGGTCCAGAAGAATACTTTGAGGGATAAATCAGCTTCTCACAGATTGCAGAATTCGTCGCCCTATGCTTACCATTCATTAACCAAACCGAGTAGCGTTCAGCTACTCGTTTATAGGGAAAAACCTTACAACATCCAATGTAATCAGCTCCACACGAGCATTTGAATGAGTTATGCAAATAGAGGCTGACATAAGTGATAGTTTGTACTTAATGCATTGTCGAATCATGATTTGGCTGATAAATACTAGATGTAAGTTAGCTGCACAAAAAGAGCGTTTAATACATCTAGATAAATGACTTTTAAATACTTCAGCAATAGGGTCACCTTCCACTGCCAAACTAATAAACAGTATCTTTTTGGCACTGTGATTTTGCCGGGGGCAGTTTCTTTCTTGATGTTTCTGTTAATAAACCTTCTAGGATACCCATTACTTAAGAGAGTTGTGATGTTTTCTAGCTCTATGTCGGTCATATCTATACGGTAGCCCCCCCAAAACGGAAGCGTAGAGAATGGATAAGATTCCTCTTCATGGCTAGGGAAGAAGCAGCGAATACAGAGTTTCGGGTGAACTCAGAGAAGTCGGAGTTGATGAAGCGAACCAACAACAGTCGGCACCAATCACCATAGACGGGATAAATGTAAAAGAGGTCACTTCCCTCACTTATCTAGGTGGCACTGTTTCAATTACGGGCAGAACGGATGAGGAGGTCAAGGCCAAAATCAGAAAGGCAGTGAAGACTTTCATCTCTCTGAAATCAATTTGAAAATTTTCTTCACCCAGCTTGAAATTCAGATTTTTAACAGTAGTGTTACATCAATCCCTCTATATGGGTAAGAAACTTGTCGCGCCATCAAAGGCCATTCTAAGGGGCTAAACACTTATCAACAGATGGCTTCGTCAGCTCCATACTGAAAATCAGCTGGCAGTAAATAGTTAGCAACAAGAGACTCTGAGAACGAGCCAGAAAAGAACCTATTAACCAAAAAATACCTCCAGGAAAATGGAGGCGGATAGGACACACGGTGAGCCACTCAATGTGTGGGCCCTCGAGTGTGAACCTGAGTGCGAAGTGATGAGTTGGTGTGAATTGGAGAGGATCGTATGAGGAGGACATGACAGCTTATGTATGGGCAGTCATGGGACCAGTGGAACAGTACTGTATAGAACAGGAAAAACGGAGCCCCATGTTTCACCCAGAAACGACAGAAGACAAGGGCCAGGCAACAGATCGTTTACTGAGAAAATCAAGAGGTATTTATAAATTTTTATGTATATTATTTTTAGCAGAGACCAACGTTTTCTGAGTGGCTGCTTACTTGCTGAAGGTTATTCTGTTATCTATTTATGGTCGTTTCTCAGAAAATCAAGCCATGTATCTGCGAATCACATTTCCACGCGTTAGCTCCGCTGTGACTGACTGTTGGTTTTCTCAAGGTTAGGATTTGTTATGGTTTTTCTCATGACCCTGATTCGGGATGTGAACACTGACGTAAATTTTCGCTCACAATTTTGCTGCTAACTCTCACCACAATACTAGTTGCTGCATATACTTTCTCAGTCAGACGATGAAGTTTAAAAAACCCGGGTTATCTATATCTTAAGCTCTCTTTGAAATGGTAAATAGACACTACATCCTGAAATTGAGGGGATAATGCGCAAACAAACATCAATTAATGAGGAGTCAGCCGAAATATCAATGCTTGTGAGATCATGGAGATTATGCAGACTTTATTACTTATTCACGTAGAGACATGGTATGTTTTACACGAACAACGTGTTCTGTGTACAGGAAGCTGGCCTTCGAAAAATGGTTGGAAGTCGGGCATAGCGAAAACATATTAGAAAAATTATCTGCTGTCCTCACTGGTTTATCTAAGTCACCATCTTTCAATAATGGCTCTTCAGAGAAACCAGTTTATTCGTGTTTCTAGTAGGCTTATTCTGCACTTTGCTGAGATTGAAATGTAGTCTGTCCGACACTAAGTGTGTCTGTCTAGTGGGAGGCACTCCACTCCATACGAACCGTCACATGTTGCCAAACTGTGAGGCATCCAGAAGTCTGTTAGGAGTTCTCCGTCCCCATTCATTACACCGAGGTCCTCTCGACTCATGATGGGTTGTATCCCTTCATTGTCTGCTCCCAATGTGGCTAACATTCTCATCACACAACAAAAT